CTCCAATAAAGAGCCCGCTCTTGGCAGGGAGGTTGCTGCCATCACCGTATGGCCGACGGGGACCCGCGCGGGGCGGGGTTGCGGCGGGGCCCACCTGCTCCTCGCACACACTCACACACACACACACTCACACACAGGGGCGTTGGGGCCCCTCCGCCGTGCTGCAAGCCGGGGCGGGAGGGCGGGGACGGCGGCCTCCCTGCTATTTCTGTAGCTGGCTGCGAGGAATTTCCAGCCCGGCCGCTGCCGGTTCCCCTTCGCTGCTAGGTGCGCGCTCTGTCGCCTGGCTGGGGCGCGCAGCCGCTATCATTAAGATATACGCTCGCACAGAAGGTCATCCATTTGCCTGGAAGGGGTGAAACCGGAGACGTGCCATCGGAACTATCGCTTCCACAGCTCCACGTACCCAGCGGCCACCCACTATGACAATACGTTTGTCTTTCAGCCTGTCTGCGTGCACCCTCGCCGCGGAGGTTACGTTATTCAAAGCTAATTGTTGCTCGCATCCACACCAGCAAGCCCCAGTATCCATCCATCACCTCCCCGATCCCCACAGGAACACACCGTATCAGTGTATACCCTGTCCAGAGTTAGCTTCAGTATCAGGGACAATATCAGTAACACGCAATTTACTTCAGCATATTCACGCTGCTTTTCTCTCTTCACCTCATATTTCAGATACGCTTTTGGAAACACACTAAGGCGGCAAATTCCTCTCAACATGAAATCACACTGATTTGAGAGAAGGTACACAAGAGATGAATCTCTTCCATTCCCATTAGATAGGGACTTTCTTACTAAATGAGATCACTTTGGAGAGGGACTCTATCAGGGAGTGTGGTGATAGGATGAGGGGTAATTCCTTCAAACTGGAAGAGGGTAAATTTAGATTAGGTATCAGAAAGAAATTTGTTGCTATGAGGGTGGTAAGACACTGGAACAGGTTGCCCAGGGCAGCTGTGGCTGCCCCATCCCTGGAAGTGTTCCAGGCCAGGCTGGATGGGGCTTTGAGCAACCTGGTCTAGTGGGAGGTGTCCCTGCCCATGGCAGGGGGGTTGGAACTAGATGATCTTTAAGTCCCTTCCAACCTAAACCATTCTATGATTTTCTTTTGATAGTTTCAAGACAGAAATGCAACATCAGCATGACCAATAATAGGAACAATGAGGCATGTATTAATTAACACACTAAAAATTATTTTAAGTGCTTATTATCCAGTGAAAGCAAGAAGTAACAAATGCGGTGGATCATACTGTAGTTTTACATATGCAGGAAATATAAATTTATTCTACTTCATTAGTCACCCTCCACATCTGATCATTACACTAGGGTTATCCTGTATGTCTGCAGAAAGCACAGCAGATACCAGGATCTTCTATACTCTGAAGCATACATGTGTGTGCATTCAAACTCTGCAATATCTTGAATGTACATTTCAATATTATAATAGAAGTAAAACTAGATGATTTGTCTTAGGGCTTGGGGCTGTTATTTTTAAAATAATTCTATCCAAGATCCAGTATTCAAGAGAGAAGGCAGGCAACCGTCCTGCCAAAAGGCAGAATGACTTCCTTTCCATCACTTGGTACTCCATAGAAACAGTAAAAACTACAGATACTCAAACACATACAAAACCAGCGCCAATAGAAGCTGCAGTAAACTCTGCCAACGAAGCTCAAACAACAAACTGCCTCCTCAGTCTTCTAAGCCTCTCTGAAAACTAAATGAAATTTCAGCCAATTTGTAAGTACTTCCCCAGTGATACACTAAAGGAGGCTGGCCCAACAGAACTCGTTTGGAAAGTAGAAAATATAACTCAAGGTATTTGAATGTGAAAAAGTGTATACATTTACATTTTAAGAAAAAAAAATATTTTTAGTAATACAGGAAGTTTGCTAGACAAACCTGTCAATGAACAATTTCAAGCTTTATAAAAGGCAAATATTGACAGAATAAACTAGTACAGCTCCATCACATAAGTCAATTATCTTGCTTGGTCTGTGATGAACTTTTGTTTACAGCACCATTTATTTCCCTATTTCCTATCTTTGTGCTTCAGTGTTACAGCTTAGCATCTGGTAGCAACCGACAACAGTAAGCGCGTATCACTGAAGTCTTTAATAACAGTGTTATCTAGACTTGCTTTAATCTTTGCAAACTCTCTCTGCAGTCACAAAATACAAATTTTTCAGCCCTGGCAATTTTGGCAGAAGTCCAGGACTTAGCCTTAGACTTCTCAATTTAAAGCAAAACTTACCTGAAATCAATCCAGATGAGGGACAAATAGCAACTATTAATAAGTCATATTTTCCATGGAAGTTTATAAAATATTAACAAACAACTGCTTTTATAAACAAATATGAAGAGTACTTGTTATTAATGACTCTCAGCACATCTGTAAGTGACAGAAGTTTGAAAAAAGATGGCTAATGTGTCTCACAGGCCTAATGGGTTGCTTATAACAGCACATAATTGATTAACCTTTTATTACAGTAACTATTAATAGTTCATTAGCCCTTTGCTCCCAACAGTTTTCTGATCATGTTTAAAATATAGATTCATTTATAACTACATTCTAACACTACTAAAGCTGAACTCCTCAACAGCAGAACAGTAATTCCCAGTCTCCTCATTTGAGCCCTGATTTCACTGCAACTAGTGTTAAAACTCTGTTTGACTTCATAGCAAAACCTCCAGATACTTTAATACATGAAAAATACACTTGATTTCATGTCTCTGGTAATAATATTCTGGAATGGTCTCTTTAGAAGTCTTTTTTTACAAGTTTATACAAAGTTGGAGGTATCCAAGTGTACACCATTTAGAAATTGGTTGGTTTTGTCATTTTTTGTATAGTATTACAATCCAGAAGAGACCCCCTTGTGCAAGGTGTAATACAAATAAATTATAAAAATGGACTGCTTATGTAATTGGAACAAAAACAGGAAAAGGAACAACGGGAGCATAGAAATACTGCCAGCCTCACATTATACTGGGGGAGAAAATTAGGTTATAAAAACCCTAAATGGTTCTCTTTCTTAACATTTAAATTACAGGGGAGCACAAGGTCTATGAAATTTGTTCCCTTAAATAACAGAGGTGTTTTTGAAAGTTCTGCTTCAGGTGTTTAAGCTTTAGGCAGTACAATCTACTGTGCAGGTCATTAAACTAGGTGTCTGGTTTTATCCTTGTCCTGATACTGATCTGCTATGTCACGCCATGCAAATTATTTCACTTCTGTTTCACTCTAAATAATGGAAAAAATAATTTCTTAAAATTTGTATGTATTACAGGCTTCAATATGAATTGCCCCCAACTACACTATTGTAATAAGACACCATTTCAACCATTGCTGAGGAAATATTAACCTCATAACCTAGTAAATACAGCTGCCACTTACCTTGCATTGAAGTGCTCTGTAAGCAAAGTAATTCAATTAGTATTTCTTATCTATCATTACAGTTCAGGGAAGGGAAATGATGGAAAGAAAGATATGTTCAAGAACTAAATTTTTAGTGGTGCATTTTGATGCAGGCTAAAACATTTGTAGTAGTAAGAGGGTCCTTGAAGAAAGCAGCAGCAAAACATCAGAACGGTATTTATATCCCATTTTACAAATATGTTTCTTACACCTTGTTAGAAAACAATGCAAAAGCTTAAATTTTTAACATTATTTTGATTGCATTCTATTCAGATTCTTAGCTGAAATCCTATTAGTTTGTGGAGATACAATCTTCACTATTATCAAGTCTGAGTAGATTTTCTTCCATTATTCCTTCCCTCTCACCCACAATGATCACATCTTTTGTTTGGAAAGATGATAAAGAATTCCAAATACACTCAGGAAGCAACACTACATTTTACATTGTGGAGAGAGATGACCAAATACATGTAGAAAAGTCTGAATTACCCCAAATAGGTAATTTTTTTTGAAGCTTTGCTGTCCAGGTCTGCACACACATGAATCAAAAACTGTCTCTTGAGCAGAGGTTTCCCCTTCTGCAGATGAGCTCTTCCCAACAGTTCCAGTTATGAAACTATTTTTTTAGCTCCCCAAAACATATAGCTTCCTGTATTTTGAAGGTAAAGGTCTTAAGTTCAGTCCCCAGGAAAGTGATCTGACAATCTTTGGTATCTATTGTCCCTAGTCATCTCT